ACATCAGATTACCATTTGTACGCTTGAGTTGATGTCAGTGTTTAAAGCTGAGGCTCAGGTAAGCAAAGACAAGTGGCTGCAACAGCTCTGTGTGGAAAGATGTGGGTGTTATGGGAGTAAGATTATATATATATATACACATATGTATTTTTTTTTTAACTAAGGAGTATGTTAAAAAAAAAGTTATCAACCTGATAAAAGATCCTGCATTCTACAGATACCATTCATTCCCTTTTCTGGAGCAAGCAGTAGGTAATGTTGATATTAAGCTGTTCAGCACAATTAAAACATTTCTTTTACAGGTACAGCCATAATCAAGGCACAGAGATCTACAGAGTTTTCTTAAGTAGTTATACAAAATAATATTACATCTTGTGGTCTGTACAGTATGCTAAACTGGCAACAAAAGACTGGAAGAAGACCCTTGTCCTAGTATAGTAAAGCTTTGGAGGATCATTTTTAGACAGGACACATTTTGCAGCAGTGACTGTGGCAGGTTTTCTGCCTAAATGTAACACAAATGTGTGAGGCTGGCAGGGACTTAAGTGTAACTGGAGAGCTTCCCTTCACTGTCTCTTGGGGTCTATTCTAAGTCCCGGCGGCAGGTTAGCGCCCGGGTGAGCCCGTAGCAACATAAAGCTAAGATCTCACTACGTTGCTTCTGTGCTTCCGCAGTCATGCTCTACTGGAAGCAAAGTGCTTTCTCCCCGTCTGCCGAGGTCTCCCTGAATCCCCAAGTAAACGACTGGATGACTAAGAGAGCACCCACCCACTGTGGCCAAAGGAGAGTTGACGTTTGCAGTGACACAAGTTGATGGGGTTTGAGGATGTTTGGAAAACAAAAGCTACAAAACCAAACCCGAGGGGAACAGAGGTAGCCAGAGGCTTGGTGGCCACTGCGGACGTACATACAGCAGGTCAGACAGCAGCAGGACGAAGCGAGGCGCACTACTTGTACCTGGCGCGGAGCCGACAGACAGACGGGCAGTCCCGGAACAAGCTCCCTGGTAGGGCGGAGGGAGGAGGGCCGGGCGGAGGCGCCGGGGAGCGCCTCACAGGAGCTCGTACTGCTTGAGGTGCATCCTCTGGATGATGTCGCGGCAGTCGTTGAACACTCGGCGGATGTTCTCCGTGTCCACGGCGCAGGTGAAGTGCGGGTAGCAGTAGTGCTTGCCGTCGCCCGTCGCCGTGCTGATCCTCTGCAAGAGAGAGCCGTCTGCACGGGGCCCCTGGCCGCAGCGCCACCCACCCTCCTCGTGTGCAGAGCTCAGGCAGCGCCTGGATCAAAGCCTAGAGGTTTCTGTTGTCGTCTTGCTCGTTTTACACAGGGATTGTTTAAATACTGAACGCTGTGCTGGAAACCCAAAGAACCTTAAGCTTATCTCCCGCCCACAAGAAGCCTGGAGTTCGGTCAAAGAGACAGGAAATACATTTAAATTCAAGGTAAGATTTTCCAGAAATAAGGTCTAAACCAGCGCCGCCCAGTATAACATTCTGCAACAACGAGAATGTTCTGTATTTGCCCTGTCCAACATGGTAGCCACTATTACTACCTGAAGCGACTGAGGATCTGAATTTTTAATTTTACCTAATTTACATCCAAATAGTCACATGTGCGCAGTGGTGCCAAACTGGACAGTGCATCGGGCAGCGGCAGCGTTTCCTGAGGGGTGTCGCCACGTTTAGCAGTGAGATATTCACGGGAGTTATGGGTGTTCTGTCCTCAAATAACTTTAGGAAACGCTGGGTTAAATGTCCTGTCATGATTTGTTAAGACACCGTGGAGTGACATGCTCGTGTGCACTGTGAAGCTAAAGTATCAGAGGTGCTGTCCTTCTACGCGACTTCCTGGGTCCCTGCACTTCCTCCGCCTGTCCCTCCACTCCAGCCCCTTCTTTTTCTGCCAAACACCGTTTGTTTTGTTTTTTCCTGCAAAGCAGCCTGTGCTTTGGAGAAATGCTGACATACTAGAAGGGTGCTGTGAACATGCTCATTAGATTATGAAACACCTGGTAGACCGGCAGACCTATTTTTAGCAATAGTTGGGCTTCTCTTGAGCCTTTTTTTCTCTTTCAATCTTACGGACACAGGCATGTGTAGGTTACATTTCTGTTTAACCCTGAAACCCCAGGTGAGGCATTTAGCGCACATGCAGGAAGTGCTTAGTGAATGAATGAAAACAAGCTTTCTTCTGTAATAATTGACTGGTT